CCAGCCATTCGTCTCTGTCCTCGCCCTCGGGCAACTTCACGACCTTCTTCAAGCTGCCGTTTCCAAGAGTTGCGTCGGCGAATTGCTTCAGTTGCCAGGCATTAGAGCCTTTGTGGGCCCTCTGAGGTTTGAATGCTGCCCTCGTGCGTGCGTTCGCATTGCTGTCCAAAGTCAATAAATCCGCCTTCATTCCAATTTCTGATAATCCGAAGCCGAGGCCTCTGTCCGGAGATTTTGACCGATCAGGGCGCCGCTGCCTACCGGCCTTGCTGCGTGGCAGGCACACCCTGTCCCGCTTGGTTGGACTGGCTGGGAGCAACGACGGCTGGCTCGAAGTGTCGACGAGGTCAAGCCCAAGCCCAGCCTCGCGGACATTCACAGCCGCCGCCGGAGCAGCTACCACCACCGCCGCTGCTTTTGCAAAGTTACCGAACAGCGACGTCGATGACGCACTGGTCTGGAGCACATCGCGAAAGTGCTTGTGCAAGGGGCTTTCGTGAGGCGGGACCGGAGCCTGCGGCCACGAGATCTGGAGATTCAGACTGCTCGTGCTGGCGGCGAACACATTGCTGTGCAGCGGGGACAGGGGCTTCGCAGCGTAGGGATATTGGCATTTGCCCGGTGAGGGGGGATTCGGGGTAGAATGAGAGGGAGAGGAAGAGAGGGGAACGAACATGGTCTGCATAAAGGACGTCATGCTGATCGTCCCTCAGCGTAAAGGTATCCTCAATTCTCCAACTCTTGCACCGCTGGTGGAGTTGTTCTCTTGTATGGACGAGTGCTTGCTGACTGGCGAAAGCCGGTACCCGTTTACGGCACCTGGTTGCGCTGGACATTCCACTGTTGTTAGCTGGTGCCGGGCGGAGGGTGGTCATGCGGACACGCGATGGACGGGTCTGGACAGCTCACCTGTATATGAGACAACGTAGATGGTAGCCGGTGGACAATGGCTCGAGGGGAGAAGTCAAAGATGGAGCGTGGGAGGTTGAATTGCAAGATTGAAGGTATTGAAGTCAAAGGGGGTCTCGCCTTGGTTCTGGTTCCTGGCTGCGTACACGCCCTTTGTTTTGGGCCCGCCCGCCTGCCGCCCGCCCTGGCTTGCCCCGCAACACAACTGTCGACCAACCACGTCTCGTACCCCGTCGTCCTCCCCTTGGGGCCTGCTGCAATAAATGTCCTCTACTGAAGTCCATATTTGCCAGTGTGGAACGAATCATCTGCCGTAGTGCTAGCCACTTTGTCACAAATAGATACTCGAGGGTCTGCGTCGCGATTGCACTTGAGAATAAAATGTCATTCACTTGCCACCAGAAACCCCAGCGGCTCTCCTCACGAAGCCTAGTACAGCCCTAGCTGCTCTGCGATTTCGAACCCCAGCCTGCGTAGCACGGCACTCGCGATGCCTTCGATATCAGTGCCAGCCTCAGTCTCCGTGTCGTCCGTACATCTCTTGATGGCCATCAGCCTTCCCTCGTCCAGCACCTCGACTCTTGAGCGATCGTTGTCCTCTTCGGCTTTGACGTTCATGATGTAGACTACGAGATCTGGTGCCATTGCGCCCCGCCACATGCCCGCTGCCCATTCCCAGTGCATCCTACCGCTGTAGCCATTGGTCGGCGGAATGCGGGACGCGAATTTATTTGTCGCTGTGAGAACATACGAACGAAGTAGCATCACCCCTTGCCGGTTCGTGCTTGGGCTGATCTGGCAATACTTGGCCATGCTCAGTCCATCACTACTACCTTGCGAAAAGGCCCGTCCTTTCGAACGAGAGACCTCGCTTTCTTCAAAGCCATGGCTGGTGATGGAAAGTTGCGTGTCTCGTGGCGGAGTACCTGCATACTTTAAAGTGAAAGGTCGGATGATGTCCTTGGTCTTCTGATACCATTCGTTCACAAAATCCAGAAAGTCAGGAAAGTTTTCGATCTGCACCTCATCGTATTCTGGTATCGACGGACTGTCAACGACGGTGACATCTGCACTCGAGCACTTCCCGAGATACTCAGCCAGCCAGTCGGACAGCCTTTGCGCCACTCTGGAATTGTCCCCCTCCACAGCGATTATGCTCACTCTTGGGAGTCTGGCTGAAGACCTGGGGCTGGGCAAGAGTATGTTCTTCATGATAGATAATTTGTCCTTCAGAACTTCCAGCGGAGGCGGTGGCGTTCTGGCTTGTATATCAATCGATCTCGGTGTAGAGGTTGGCGTTGCTAAGATGCCCGCGGATTGAGCGGGCAACGACGTACTGCCTCTCCAATCGTGCGTTGGAGGGCGCAGGGGTGGCAGCTTGAGACTCAGTTCCCGGCTTGCAGGACTGCGTCTCAACATCATTCGATGCTGACTATATCCGGGCCCTGCTTCCTTGGGCGGTGGGCCCATCCGGGTTTGGGCTCTTGCTGCCAGCTCCGCAGCTTGAGGGAGACTTGCACGTCGATCATGCCCACTGTAAGACAGGAGGGATGTGTGGTAATTTCCGGTTAGTGGCGCGCTATGATTGTTCTCTTCTGGAAACGCGGAACTATATCGTACAGCAGACTTCGGCTGGACTAGACGATCCAGTCGCCTTCTCTTCGGACTCCAGATCGTCGATTCATGATCATCGAGTACTCTGCCTGCATTACCGGCGGTCGAACCGTGCTGAAAGCGATATTGCGGCGGAGCGGGGGATTGTGCTCCTGAGTTCTGCATACTGAGGTATTCTGTAGCAGACGTCGTGATCGACGATGAGTTTGACGGAGGTGGCGGAGGCGGGGGTACCGTGTCTTTTGATGGCTGTGCGTTAATCCTCGTCTTGAGAGTGAGTCGTGCATCTTCTCGTGTGTTGCCAACGTCGCTAGGCGCAGTGCTTTGGGTCTCCTGCTGTACAAACAGTTTGCCTGAACATTTGGGACATTCTTTGGCGTCAATTCTCTGCAATCCCGAGCTATCACCCGTCTCCGATGCTCTGAGCGGCCGCTTGGGCTGATATCGATAACTTGGCCATCGTTGTTGGTGTTGCAATTTGTCTTCCTTCCCGATCTTTAGTATTGCACTGGTAAATCGGCTCTTGTGAAGCACCCACCTCGGCATACGCTTTCCACTTCTGTTTCTCTATCTCCGATTCATTTCTCCACGTCTCTCCAATGATTCTGGAAATGTCAGGATTGTTGATGCCAGGGTATTTCGTGGCAACTGCAGCGTAATGATGTTGCCGATACAGGATAAAGGCTACGCGAGCATGAGTCAGTGGTACAAAGTCAGCGAGATCAAAGCGTACCATTTCTTGGACGGGGAATCTTAGGCTCGGGCGTGCAAAAGCATGGATATGGGGATCCGTGTCCAGGTACCGATGCAAGATGGGGCACACCTTCCTCGGCATCACTATCATCGCCACTTCTCTTGCTCAAAGCAATTCGAGGGGAAGGCTCGGCAGGAGATTGAGGCTTTGAAGGAGACGGCGGTGAACTCGTTGGCGGTCCAGATATCAGCGAAACGATCGACGCAGTCCGCACATGTTGCGACATAACAGGAGAGGCAACGCTGCTGCCAATGGAGACATGCCGAAGGTCGGATTTTGGAGAGACCATCACGGAGTTTTGATCTTTCAAGATGTCTCTTTGCCAGAGCTGTCTCGTAAAGAGAAATTGAGGTTGATCAGGCTGCTCTAAATGCACAAAAGAGTTGTGGCACTGCTGCGAGGCGCTCATCTTTGATACGGAAGGGGGAGTTAAGGAATGTTGATCGCGGTGGAATTTGCCCACCGTATCGGTAGGACATTGTGCTGGATAGGAACAATAACATCGAACTGAACTAGACTGACTTCCCTTCTGCCTCGTTCTGTCTCAAGCAAGAGCCACTTACCTCGTTCCAGAGCCACCAGCTGATTGAAATTACTGAAAGGGCAAGACGCAGCGAAGATCTTGGGTCTTGGAATTGGTAGATACAAACGTGGGCCACAGCTGCATCAATCCGTGACGAACAAACAATGTCCGAAGCAAGGGCGGGACATTGTCTAGCTTTTATTCACAAAGGGGGATGACGCTTCGTACGCAAGGATCTGCACTTGCGCACCAGCTGCATTTGGGACGCACCAGACCCTTCACTTTACACTCTCCAATCATCTCAACCTCCCAATCCAAAAAGCAATGCACACAAGGCATCTTTGCCAACAAGTTGGCGTCTATTCATGACAATCATTGGCAAAAGAGAACTCCCCCGCGGGGAATCGAACCCCGGTCTCCCGCGACTTGTCAGGCGAATGACAAGCGGAAATCATGACCACTAGACCACGGAGGAAGGAATTCTGTAATTCGCCAGCTTTTTCAGCTGTGTGGTGAATTTCCAAAATTCTTAAGTGATATATATAGCATTAATGTCACGTGATATGGATAGATCGAGCTCGTTAAACCGCAGACGAATGCGGTATCATGCCCATTCGGTCGCAACACGACCGTGGAGGGCAGGGCTTTCTCCATGAAATCATTGCCGGCCAGTTGGAAGGTATAATCGCTCTCGGTTTCACACTTTCACGCAATGCGATCTCTCAGATATGCGAAATATTACAGTGGGTTTTCCACACTTATCGCTCGCTACAAACGAGTTTCGTGGCCTATGGTCATTCTGCACAGAAGTACCAATGGTTCTGGTGCGTGGTAGAATGCTAGCTTCCTGTGACCACATTTATATAAGGAGAATCTGAAGACTGGCTGTGCTACGCACAAGAGCAAACTCCACCGAGATTGGGTTTCACAGGAAGAGCAAAAAGCGAAGCTCTCGTCGAAGGAGTGCGACGGTCGACTGCCTCATTAATCTGGGCGCCGACTGTCAGTGTGCTTGACAACCATTTAGATGGTCTGTAAATTTGCAATTGCGCCGCTCTCACCGCCCGAAGGATAAAACTTTGTTATTGTATGCGCTCGACATTATTGTCCTCTATGAGCTGAAAAACAGCTACCAACATTCGTGGTCCCAAAAAACCAAGCAAGAAATAGTTTGCAGTTCAGCAAAAAATGATGTTAGCATTGCTCTCCCTCGGGGAATCGAACCCCGGTCTCCCGCGACTTGTCAGGTTAGTGACAAGCGGAAATCATGACCACTAGACCAAGGAAGATGAACCAGAACTTTGAATTCTGCTTGGTCAATGATTGCTCATTGGATGCTGGTGAAGGTAATAATAAACAATATATACACATAAATTACATCCCGCCGCGCGGCGTTGTATGCAAGGCCACTAAATCTTGGCCCTTTTATGGGTGTCACGAAATAGTGCACTTCCGGCTCACTGTCTCTTACCTACGATGTCTCTGTTTCAAAATTCTACACCCGTCTTGCACGACTCAACAAAGTACTATCGCTGGTGCTTGGGAGCGAGCTCTGTCCACGCGGATTGCGACCTCTGATGATCCTACGACAGGGCCAGGAGCGTGTCAGATCGACCGATCAGTCAAAGCAAGCATCCGACTTCCTTAAAAACTATTTGAAAACGGTTGAAATATTGGGGCGGCCATGGTCTCCCCTAGTCTACATATGTCTAAGTCACCATGGTGCTGTGATAGAGTCTTCATCGGGATCCATAAAGTATCTACAATACACGCGCAATCACAAGAGTCTCAGCAGACCAAAGGCGGGTTTCAACGAAAAAACAACCACCCGCTCATCTTTCCATAGAAATTGTGCAGATCCAGAATCCGATTTTGTCGCCTAGCAAAGCTAAAATGGCCGATCACTCCTCCGCCCTGGAATGTATGTGCTGTCGCGAGGACGGGGAAAGATGCAGGGCGAAAAGGCGGTGGGCAGTCTGTCTCGTGGCTGTCATCCAACGGCGTTTGGCTGCCGCCTTCGTGTTCTTTTTACGCATGTCCTCCGCTCACGCCACGCCCACCAGCGACAGAAGGAACGGCAGTGCAAGGCATCGACAGGGGACTAGCGCTGACTCCTGCCTGTTCGCCCGGCTGATCTGACCTGGACCTGATCGTGACCAGATGGGGCTCAGTCCCAACTATGCAATAATGGGCGGGACGCGGGATCCTTTGCTCGGCCATATTTCCCCCGTCTTTGCCTTCTTTTCCATGCCAGCGCGGCGCAAGGCAGCCCGCGAAGCTTTGCTGGGCGGCGTTATATCGTGAGCCAAGTCCCCACAATGATTGACGCTCGTGTCGGTCGCACTCTGGCAATCCCTGCGCTCCACCGCAGCACGCCGTCGTCCTTTTCCTCGCGCCGGGGACTGTGACATTGCCCCTCGTACCGGAAGCGTGGGGTCACCGACGCCCAGAGGTTGTTGCATCTCCTACTCTTTCTTCTCCCTCGACACGACCTCCATTTTGCTGGGCCAGGACAGAACATCGATTGGCGTTGGGAGCGTGCTTCTGCTTTCATACTTCCTGCCTGCCCGTCATGTTTGCAAGCTTCTAATCTCTGTGTCTTTCCCCCTTCACCATGGCAAACCGGCGTCATGACTACCGTGACATACAAAGAGAGCAATGGCAATCGCAACGGCCTTCAAGGTGAATGAGCCTGTCAGTGGAGCAGAGACCAAGCTGCTGATCGGTCCGGCAGGTACCCTGAGACATCTGCTGTGCCGCCATCACCGCACTGCAGAACATCTCCTCAGCCCCCGCTATATCGTTATGTACCACCACGCCGCAAGCGCTGGCCGCCCTCGCCCTCGGTAGAAGACGAAGCAACGGCTTTGCAGAAGGAATTCGGTCCGACTCACCACCGACGTGACGACGGAGTCCTTGAACGCGGTACAATTGACCAAGATCCTATTCTGATCGACCTTACACCTTCTGCCGTGGCGCACACACTCACCCGTGACCGCCCTAGAGCATCGGCTGGGGTACCAACGCCTCCCGCGAGTGACGATGAGATGGCCTCTCGAGGCAGACGCCACGGTCCTCGGCTTGACACCGGTCAGCTCGATGCTGGCTTGCTACCAGAGATGATGAGAGGCCCTTCGCCTTATCACTTTAGCAAATCCCAGCCCCCAATCACAAACCGGTCCGCAGACGGCAGACGTCTCGATCCGATGACACCGCCGCCAAGTGCCTCGGGAGTCGTCAAACCATTGCATTACCCAACCCCAGAGGGTCCTGCTCGTCCTAGAGACGCCCGACCTGCCAAAGTCTTTACGACTGCCAACACTGCCAACACTGCCAGATTCAATGCAGCTGGAAAGGCATCATCTGAGGCAATCGATGACGATGTTCTCAACGAGGTCGAGAAAGAGAGAATGCGAAGCCAAATCAAATCCACCAGGGTTTCGTTCTCGTCAAATACCATTCCGACCGAGCCTCCGAAACCAGCCTCCTACCAGTCAATCGCCAGGAACGTACCACAGCGCCCACTCTTATCTGACGACAACAGACGACATACCGACTCATGGATGGAAGTGCCGCGAGAACAAGCCATTGATGGAGCACGGAAGCCAGCACCGCTCATGGTGGGAAGCCTCGCTAGAGGGGGACCAAGTCAGCAACCCGCACTGGCTCCGAACAGAATGCTTGCCGACAAAGTTCCCAGCAGAAGCTCACCCCGCGCGTCTGGGGAGGTTATGGCGCGTTATCCTCCTTCGCCGCCAAGGTCACCCCGTGCCAGTCTAGACACCCCAATTGACCCCTCTTCTAGAGCGAAACGCAGGTCTCTGCAAGCTTCAGCAGAGGGTTCTAAAGCAAATTCCCCGCGAGACTCGACAGAGACGGACAACAGGCTGCCGACTACGGCGATTGCATGGCAGACTGCTTTTGATACTAATGATGCGCGCAGTCCACGACCACCTCCCAGACTTGTGACGACTAATCGCGCAGAGAGTTTCCAGGAGATGTCTAGATCAAGTGCTAAGGACTTTCTGCCTCCGCGCCGAGTTGACACCTTGCCCTATCCGGTCGATGACAGTCCAGCAGCCATGCCTGAGGAACGAGATCATCAGTTCTTCCCAGACAGCCAGAATCCTCTGCAGCCTTCAACCATGATTGCCAAAACTCTTTCAAGAGTCGGCACTCACCCTGGAAACAGCACCAGTGAAAGTATCAGACCAGGAGTATCCAAAGTACACTCCTTCTCCGAGAAAGCGCCTTCACCACTAGCAACCCTGCACACGCCCCGACAAAGCCGGCAGGTTTCTTCTACAGGGTCTGAGAAGCGAACGCCGAATAACACACCGGACTCGTTTGCAGCCGCACCTCTCCCACCATGTCCGCGTCCGAAGTATGTCTCGGGACACTCGGATTGGTACACGCTTGAAGGGTGCCCTAATTTTGATGTTTGCCCTAGTTGTTTGGAGAGTGTGTTCACTCCTACTTTCTACTCAGGTTTCTTTCAGCAAGTCCCTACCAAGGCTCGTGCTCCAGATGCTAAGATCCGCTGTGATTTCTCAAGTCCCTGGATGCGCATAGCCTGGCTTCTGACCCTGCAACGTCAGATGCCGAACTTGAATCTCCTCAAAGAATTATACCGTCACTTTGAGTCGTCGCAGCCATGTCCAGAGGCTGTTGCTCAACCACGGCAATGGCTGACCATTCTCGATGAGACGACACGCCGCCCTATGGAGGATTTCCACATTTGTGCAACGGACATTCGGGCCATCGAGATACTGATGCCTCTGCTCCGTGGCTTCTGGGTTCCCCATCCTCGAAGCCAAACTTCTGCAGGATCTCTAGCCACAGAGTCGTCGAGGCTTTGTTCGATGAGAACAACACACAACAATCGATTCCCAGTCTACCTGGACAGTTTAATCTCTCTTCACGAGGCTGTACAACCGTCCAGCCCCAATCATGTTCCAGACATGATTCCATTTGTGAGGCTGGTCAAACGAAAACTCGCTCTGGGCGACTGTCCCCGAGATAATATCTTGCAGGCTGAAAGATGGTACTACATTCCCGCTCTTCCAGAGTTGACTGTCTGTCAGGATTGCCATGACGAAGTCATCAGCCCACTTTTACGCGCGGACGCTGATTTAGCCATGCGTTTTAATCGATCACCTCAGTATATCCCATCTACGGGGGGGAGCGCCCGAGACTCGGCCAGCAGCTTCAAGGACGTGGCCAAGGCAGCAAGCTGCGCACTGTATTCACAGCGCATGCGGAGGCACTTTCGGCGTGCCGTGGCAGACAATGACTTCAAATACCTGTCGCGGAAAGCCAAGGACCGGAAGAGGAAGGAGACGGACCTGCAGAGGGAGGCGCAGCCTCTGATTTCAAAAATGACGGAGATCGACGAGCTTGTACGATCACAGCAGGGGCGAGCGGGAAGCGAGAGATATGTAGCTCGATTGGAAGAGGACAGAGAGCGACTTGCGGACGCCTTGGAACGATGTCGGGATGAGTGGTTGGATTGGGAATGACGTTGACGAATAACGCTGCACTGCACATTCATGAGAGCACGAAAGCCAGCATAGCGACAAATTGCTGCGTTTGCAACGATTCATATTGACCGGGAGCTCTTCATCTGTATACATAATTTTCTTTTTCCCTCAATTGCATGCTTTCATAAGGACACAATGCTTTGGGTTCACAATGCTGTGGATTTCACGTTACCACGGATACATCTTGCCCTCCCAGGTCCAGAAAGTGCCACTGTCCATAACATCTCTGGCTTGAATTACGCTCAGCATGCCCTGCACGCTCTCCTGGGGAGTGATGATGCCCTCCACAGACCAAGTGGTGTCTATGTTTCCCATGTCGGTAGCCACCTCTCCGGGATGCATGGCGATGATGATGGTGTCGTCGTCTTTGCGTTTCAATTCGGCAGCCATGTGCCTCAGGGCTTGATTCAAGGCGGCCTTGGACGCGGCGTAGGCAGCGAAGCCGTCTTCGACCTCACGGAAGCATTGAGCAGAGCCGGAATCCGAGGACATGAAGACGATAGTACCGATGGGGATGTTGCTCTTCAGCAGCTGCTGGGCACACACTATGGGACCGATGGTGTTTGTGTGCAGATGGAAGGCAAACTCTGCGAACGATACCTCGGTGGCGCGGTTGGGATAGCGCAGCACACCGGCGTTGATGACGACGTAGTCCAGGCGGAGATTCGGCACGGCGGAGAGGGCAGTGACGCATTTCTGTTTTGGTTTCAGCAAGAGATGCTCGTCTGGGTCTGGTTCTGTACACGTAC